AAAAAAAAAAAAATGATGCTAACAAAGTTGAATCCATTACAAAAATTCGGCCAAAGATTTTGTGTAAATATTTATGACAAAAAAAACCCAAAGAATCCGATCATATGAAGATTGTTACAAAAAATAATAATAATAATGTTAAAAAATTTAAACCCTTACTAAATTTTCGGCTAAAAAAAATTACTACTTAAAGATTGTGTGTAATAACTATGAAATTAGTTTCAAAAATAAAAAATAAAAAAAAAATAAAATAAAAAACTTTAGATTTGTTTGTTATGCCCCAACTTAATAAGGTATAAATATTTTCAATCTCCAGATAAACAAAACATGCAAAACCAGATTGTTGTTGTCACGTAGAATTGAAACTCAGGATTCTCTGGATGCATCACTTACACTTATAATAGAGAATGAATGAGCTCCTGAAGATCATCTGATGTGAAACCTATCTCATCTAACAGGACATGGTAATGAGTTGGTTGCAAAGTCCCCTGAAAAACATATCAAAGCATTTAATAAACTTAAAATATGTCGCGAGTATTTCAAAAACTGTTCACGAGGTTCATCGTACTAAAAGAAAAAAAAAATATGAATTTTCATTTTTTTAAAATTAATTATGGATGCATATTTGTAGGCCTGTGACTTTCTCGAGGAAAAATGGCGCCCCAAGTTCAGGGTGATCGTCTCACAGAGACGTCACCACACCAATTATTCGATGCTAATTCAAAAGACGTTGTCTCTCCTGGTAGAATCAGTTGGAAGCTGCAATATCCCAAGGTATCTAAAATACGAGTATTAGAATTATTGCAATCACAAATATAAGTATAAGGAAAGTCAATTCTGTCTTCATATTCACCTTTTTTAGTTTAATATCTGCAGCACAAAAAAAAATTAAAAAATAAAAAAATAAAGGAGAGAGAGAGAGAGAGAGAGAGAGAGAGAGAGAGAGAGAGAGAGAGAGAGAGAGAGAGAGAGAGAGAGAAAACATCATCTGGCAAGCAAAATAAGCAAAATACGTCCTGATTAACCAAAATAATCCAAGATTACACTCAAATGCATAAAGGCACATGATATCAGAACACTCAGAGAGTCAGAATCCAATATTACAACCTGTGTCATTAATTGTTCCAATCAGTAGCCACTGAACAATAAGATAAACTTTAACAAGTCTCAGACAGCAACCCAACTGATCAGACATTGACTGATTCAAAGGCAAGACAATACAATCAAAAGAGTTCAACACAATGAAACATAAACACAGAACATTTCATATGATGACAATAAAATTACATTGTGGGAAGGAAAGATCTTCTTGCAGCCCTATCGTCTCTACCCACTTGAACAGATTTTCATAATATGCCTGCACATAATAACTTGTGTTTTTTAAGTTCAACGAAACATATATACCATGAGTTTTTCAGAGCAAAGTGCAATATATCCTATAAATGAAATATATATATATATATAAGAACAAATTTCCGAAAGTTCAAAGACAAACAACACTTTCCAGCTACTCAGAGTATTATTAAGATATCAAATTAAGGGCTCTTTTTCAAAAGAAGATAAAGTGACGTTTTACTTGATCTTCCTCCTCATGAAGCAAGTCAGTAACTATCCAGCTTTCAAAAAGTATTGTTAATTAGTAATAATATAAAAGGAGCATGTACACTAACTAAATGCAATAAAAAAAATTTATGAGTAACGCAAACTAATATCAAAACGTGTCAATACAAAAGAAGTTTTCAGTCGCATACCGTCAAGCCAACAACTCATCCGGAGGAAAAATGGTGAGCTTGAACATGCCCTCTCCGGCAACTTGAGTTTGGTCCTCTTGCTTCTTCTTCAGTATGGCCTCACGGATTCTTTTGGCGGACCCAGCTGCAGATCTACAACGGTAAACGTCCAACAACTGCAGGCTCGGCACATCCGCCAGCCCAATTGGAATCTCCCCAAGCTCCTCACAGTTCTTCAGCTCAAGCCGCCTGAGCCTAGGGAAGTGATGTCCCGAGGCCTTCCAAACGACCAGGTCTGTTCGCCCAATAAACAACACTTCCAGGCGGCGAAATCCCCCATCCGCAGCCTCCCAATACTTTCCCTTGAAAGCCCGGTCCTTCAGCTTCAGCACCTCGAGGCTATCAAGCAAGCCCAAGGTGGACATTTGGGTCCATTCGAGAAATGTTTCAGACAGAGTAAGGCTCCGGAGTTTCGGCGGGAACTTGTAATGCTGAGGAAGCAACCGCAAATGGCCCTCGGAGGCCGGGCTAGGAAACACATCATTCACGAGCTTCAGCTTCTCGAGGCATGCCATCTTCGCAAGGCTGTCGAACGACCCGACTTTTCCTTCTAAAAGCAGGGCCAGGCGGCCACGAATGCCAAGCCTCTTCAGGTTGCGGGCCCGATTGAGGATTTCCTCCGTGCAGCTCTGCGGCGAGATGAAGCCAAGGGTCTGGAGCTTCTCGCCATCTTTGGCTGCCGTCTTGGGCACGGGCAACAATGCGGATGCATTCGTTTTGATGTGCCTAAGTTGGGTCATTTTCCAGATATCAACTTTGATGTCGAGCGTACGGTACGTGGTGTCAACCACCAGGGTTTGCAGGTTCCAGAATTTGGCAAAGAAGGTGGGAAGGGTTGGCGAGGTGTAGGACAGCGTGATGTACCTCAGGTGAAACAGTTGATACAGCTCGGAAGGGATCTTGGTGAACTTCATGGGCTTGGCTTCTAGGACCCGGAGGAGCTTGAAGGCCGAGGGAATGTTGGAGAGACTCGATGCCGGGAGGTTGATCTCTTCCTTGGAGAAACAGGCGAAAGAGCGGATACAGTGTCCGTAGAGCTTCTTAGAGGAGACAAAGTCCACAACGTTGGAGTGAATGCAGAGGCGGCGATATTTCTCCAAATCGCTGACAGGAGGGTAGAAGCTGCCCTCGCTCGACTTTTTAATCTCCTGGAGGAAATTTTCCCCATCACTCCCGGCTTCAGTCTTACAGAACTCTCGGAGCATGTCGTGGATGAGGCACGTCTTGACCTTCCCATTTGGCTTCCTCTTTTCGACCCTAATTAAATTCCGGCTGATGAGCTCCTCGAGATAGCTCTCCGCAGTCTCCTCCAGAGTATGATCGATTTTTTGCTGAATAAATCCTTCGGCAATCCACATACGGATCAATTTCCACACAGGGATCTCGTAATCCTCCGGAAACATCCCGAAATAGAGAAAGCACGCCCTCAGATGATAGGGCAGTTTATCGTAACTCAGGGCTATGATCTTCACCATGCGTTTCTCAGGGTCCTCCTCCGTCAGGTAAGTGCCCACATTCTCCGATACCTTTTCCCATGCATTCTTTTTCACGTTGATATTATCAGACGATGAGAATCTTTTGACTAGAATACCACCAATGATCACTATGGCGAGGGGTAGCCTACCACAGTCGTTGACGATCAACTTCCCAAAACCCTCAAGCTCGGAAGGGCAATCACGCTTGCCAAAGACCTCGAGTTGCAGCAACTCCCAACTCTCCTCTTGAGTCAAGAAACGCAGCTTGTGTGGAGGCCTATCCCGGTTGGCGTACCGGGCCACCTCCTCATGGCGGCTGGTGATCAAGACTTTTCCCATCTTGTTGCCCTTTGGAAGGGCGATCTGAAGCTTGTCCCAGTCATTGGCTGTCCACACGTCATCCATGACAATCAAGAATTTCCCTCTCTCTAAATGAGACTCCACTAGTTGAGCTAGCTCCACATCACTTCGGTGGTAAATGTCCTCAGTGATCCTAGTAAACTCTTTTAAGATGGCTAGAAAGATGTTTTTCTTAGTGAATTCTTGGGAAATGTAGACCCATATGCGAGTAGGGAACTCAAACTGGATGTTCGGGTCACGGAAGATTTTTCCTGCCAAGGTCGTCTTGCCGAGACCGGGCATGCCGATTATGGATATGACATCGAGTTGTTCGGTCTTCTCACTGAGATACCCAATTATTTTCTCTGCCTCGTCCTCAAAACCGACCACGTCTTTTTGTCTCACGATTGGTTCCTGTTTTGAAATGTTTCGCAAGAAGATCAGTACAACGTTAGGAAACATGAATTGGCTTGTACATAGGGAGAATCACATGTACTAAAAGAAGGGATTATAAAAGAACACGAAAAGATATAAGAATTAGGAAACAAGAACTGGCTTGTACCTAGGGAGAAATATATGATATTTTTTTATTTAGATTTAAGAGGTTGCCACTCTCACAAATTTTGACTCCAACACCTCATGCCGTCCCCTTATATGACATATATAAAACAAGAAAAAATAATAAGAAAAAAG